TCGGTTAGTATCGGTTGAGCCTAAGTTTTTGCTTCTTCACATGAGTTGTGCTATCCTTGCATTGTCATTTTCTTTAGCTTTGCCTTCTGTTTGAATAAAGTATCAAGATCTGAAATTATTAATTGGGAGAGTCTTCACATAGTTGTATAATTATTCGACTACTCATTGATCTTCACTTATATCTTTCGGAGTAGTTTGTCATTTGCTCTAGTGCATCACTTATATCTTTTAGAGCATGGTGGTAGTTCTATTTTTAAGAAATAGATGAACTCTCATACTTCACTTATATTATTTTTAGAGTCTTAAATAGCATGGTAATTTGCTTAATGTTAATATACTTGGTATTCAAGATATGTGAAACTTTCTTTTGAGTGAATTGAATAGCATGGTAATTTGCTTAATGTTAATATACTTGGTATTCAAGATATGTGAAACTTTCTTTTGAGTGAATTGAATAGAGTCTTAAATAGATGCACACCCACTAGTTTTCTTTTGTTGAGCATTCATAGCTCTAGTGCATCCGTTGCATGGAAATCCCTACTCCTCATGTTGACATCAATTAATGGGCATCTCCATAGCCCGTTGATTATCCTCGTCAATGTGAGACTTTCTCCTTTTTTGTCTCCTCCACACAATCCCCATCATCATATTCTATTCCACCCATAGTGCTATATCCATGGCTCACGCTCATGTATTGCGTGAAGGTTGAAAAAGTTTGAGATTATTTAAGTATGAAACAATTGCTTGGCTTGTCATCGGGGGTATAGAAGTTGGGAACATCTTTGTGTGAAGAAAATGAAGCATAGCCTAACTATATGATTTTGTAGGGATGAACTTTCTTTTGCCATGCTATTTTGAGAAGACATGATTGCTTTGATTAGTATGCTTGAAGTATTATTATTTTTACATCAATATGAACTTTTGTCTTGAATCTTTCGGATCTGAATATTCATATCACAATTAAGAAGAATTACATTGAAATTATGCCAAAGTATCACTCCGCATCAAAAATTCTTTTTTATCATTTACCTACTCGAGGACGAGCAGGAGTTAAGCTTGGGGATGCTTGATACGTCTCCAACGTATCTATAATTTTTGATTGCTCCATGCTACTTTTATCTACTGTTTTGAGCAATATTGGGCTTTATTATCCACTTTTATATTATTTTTGGGACTAACCTATTAACCGGAGGCCCAGCCCAGATTTGCTGTTTTATGCCTATTTCAGTGTTTCGAGGAAAAGGAATATCAGACGAAGTCAAAACAGAACGAAATCAACTGGAGAAGTTATTTTTGGAAGGAAATCCACCCGATGGACTTGGAGTACATGTTAGGAGATACGGTAGGTGCTCGCGAGGGTGGGGGGCGCGCCCGCCCCCCTAGGGCGCGCCCCCCTGCCTCGTGGGGCCCCCGTAGCTCCTCTGACGTACCCCCTGCACCCATATATACTCTCGTACCCTAAAACTTCCAGAACAGAAGATAGATCGGGATTTCCGCCGCCGCAAGCCTCTGTAGCCACCAAAAACCTCTCAGGAGCCCATTCCGGCACCCTGCCGGAGGGGGAATCCATCACCGGTGGCCATCTTCATCATCCCGGTGCTATCCATGACGAGGAGGAAGTAGTTCACCCTCGGGGTTGAGGGTATGTACTAGTAGCTATGTGTTTGATCTCTTTCTCTCTCTCGTGTTCTCTCTCGTGTTCCCTCTATGGCACGATCTTGATGTATCCCGAGCTTTGCTATTGTAGTTGGATCTTATGATGTTTCTCCCCCTCTACTCTCTTGTGATGAATTGAGTTTCCCCTTTGAAGTTATCTTATCGGATTGAGTCTTTTATGAGAACACTTGATGTATGTCTTGCCGTGATTATCTGTGGTGACAATGGGATATCATGTGCCACTTGATGTATGTTTTGGTGATCAACTTGCGGGTTTCGTGACATTGGGAACCTATGCATAGGGGTTGGCACACGTTCTTGACTCTCCGATAGAAACTTTGGGGCACTCTTTGAAGTACTTTTATGTTGGTTGGATGAATCTGAGATTGTGTGATGCATATCATATAATCATGCCCACGGATACTTGAGGTGACAATGGAGTATCTAGGTGACATTAGGGTTTTGGTTGATTTGTGTCTTAAGGTGTTATTCTAGTATGAACTCTTTTATAGATTGATCCGAAAGAATAACTTTGAGGTGGTTTCGTACCCTACCATAATCTCTACGTTTGTTCTCCGCTATTAGTGGCTTCGGAGTGACTCTTTGTTGCATGTTGAGGGCTTGTTATATGATCTATCTATGTTATTATTGTTGAGAGAACTTGCACTAGTGAAAGTATGAACCCTAGGCCTTGTTTCCTATCATTGCAATACCGTTTACGCCCACGTTTATCACTTGTTACCTTGCTGTTTTTATATATTCAGATTACAAAAACCTATATCTACTATCCATATTGCACTTGTATTACCATCTCTTCGCTGAACTAGTGCACCTATACAATTTGCCATTGTATTGGGTGTGTTGGGGACACAAGAGACTCTTTGTTATTTGGTTGCAGGGTTGCTTGACAGAGACCATCTTCATCCTACGCCTCCTACGGATTGATAAACCTTAGGTCATCCACTTGAGGGAAATTTGCTACTGTCCTACAAACATGTGCACTTGCAGGCCCAACAACGTCTACAAGAAGAAGGTTGTGTAGTAGACATCAACGCGGATGTACTCCTCTGCCACAATTGGCATGGTCATGTCCCCTAGTTGCGAGATCATCGCACACCACCATCGCCACATCATCTTTAGCCACCACCATGTGCACATCTTCAGCTGGCGCCATCTACTCCTCCTCCTCACTGTCAGAGTCCACCAGAATAGGTTGCACGTCTTCAGACCCGCCATCTGTTGCTCATCCTCTTCATCCCCACTCTCGTTCTTCTCCTCCCCACTTTGCACCTCCTCCTCATCCCAACTCGCATTCTCCTCCTCCCCACTCTGCTCCTCCTCTTTATCTCCACTGTTCTCCTCTCTTCCTCGCTCTCCTCGTCATCGCTAATGATAACCTGCTTAACTCGAGCTGGCACATCAATCTTCATGCCAATGAGGCCTTCCACTGGAGCAGGACCATGGCGATGACGCGAGTGGTACATGTACCACCTCGCTCGCTGCATCGGATTTGGTGACTTCTCTACCTCGTTCATAGCCTAGAGGAAAATCTGGGTTGGAAGCACTCCATGACCGTCGGGAAACATCCCTTTATTCTCTTCCTCCGTTAGAATCGTGATGAGACCCCTTGCGTGGTCGACGTACGACTGCAGGCTCAGAAACCATATGGAGATCTCCTCCACATCCTTCCTCTTCTCCGCATCTCCCTTGCATAACTTCTCCACGGCAGCATCCCAAGCAGCGACTTTGCTGGACCTCATCGTCAGTGACATGTGGATGGGAGAGATGAGGAAGGGCAAGATGTGGAATGGGGAATGATAGTGAGCTCCTGGGTGTGTTCCTGTTAAACGTGAGGCGAGCTAGTGGATGCGTTCAGTGGGAGCTAAGTCAACATTGCGTTGGTTCAATGTTAAGTGGGTCTAGTCAACAGTGCGTGCACTGCTATGTAGGTTCACAAAGCTCAAAGATTCAGTTAAGTTAGAAAGTTGAAAGTTCAGTTAAGCTCAGAAAGCTCAAAGTTTAGTTAAGTTCAGAAAGCTCAAAGTTTAGTAAGCTATGTTCACTGACAAATAAATTCACATACATCTACTTTCAGATAGCTGACAAATAAATTCAGATACATCAACTCTTTAAACCAAGATACATTAATCATTTCATTCGCTTCAAGATTCATGACACACAAAACAAGATAGCTAACAAATTAATAGTTTAACTATGACACCGCATAATTGCAACTAGAACAAGATAGCAAACAACTTATTGATCAGTCACATCTTGTAGGTCATGTACATCACAAACAGAATGCAAAACAAGATAGCAATTTTGAACTTCATTTTGCATCTCTCCAATTCCTTGAGAGGAGCAAACACTTCTTCATAGTGCCTTGCTTTCAAGTCAATGACATGAACATCACCATCAGCAATGCTACACTTGGCTTCCATCAAAGATTGCTCCAGCTAATGATTATCCGTCTTCAATTTCCTAACATCGGTCTTCACACAATAAACAACATCCCACAGGTCGCCTAGCAGCTGGCTGACAAACTCGTTATGGGGATCGTAATGCCACTTGAAGTACCAACAGTCCACGCCCTAGGCAAATTTCAAAGAACGGATTTGCGGTGAAGAACTCGAACTATCAAACCGAATCCACCTTGGCTAAGTCAAGACACTTCACCCGCGGTTTGCTGCAGTTGTAGTATCTTCGGCCAGGATTGGCGAGGCTCCACGATATGCACGTTGGCGCCTTCACTTTAAAGTGGCAAATCACGCCAGGCACGTACTGCATCGACGCCTCCTGATAAGCCATCGGCGACTGCCACGGCGACACCATGGACAAGGAACGATGACTGTTGGACGAGCTACCAGATGCCATGGGTGTGCGCCGCAGCGGGAGCTAGGTTCGCTGCCATGACAGTGTGGAGTGGGTGTGCGCCGCGGGGCCTAGGATTCATTGCCGCCGCGGGGCCTAGTGCAAGCCATCTATTGGCCTGACTAATCTCATCCAGCCTATTCAAATACCGCCCAAAATTCTGTCTAATTGATCCAGTTTTAGACATTTTAGGGGGTTTTAGAGTTGAGGGGGAAATTGGTCCGTGAGGGAGAATTAGGGGATTATACTTTCCTCGTCTAATTTTGTTTTGTGGTCAACCCAAAGCGAGTGCAGGACCTCTCTTTGTCCACCCACAAGGGAGGCCATAGCACGACAAGCCATGTCAGCTTCACGCCGCATCCAGCCGTCCACGCACGACGCGCGAGCATATAACAGAAGAAAGAGAAGCAGAGAGAGATAAGATATTTCGTCCCGGTGGTTGGAGTAAAATACTTGCAGGAAACAGCACCCGAATGAAATATCCACACGAGGCCTCCCTCGCTTCCCATCCCTCCCTCCCTCCCTCGTCCAACGCCGACGAGTCACGCCTCCTCTCAAGTCCACAACTGCTCTCCTCCCAATCTCTTCTTCTTCCGCCCCAAGTCGCCTCACCGGGGATGGAGATCGACGCGGCGGTCCAGGCGAGCAGCGACGGCCGGCTGCGCACCAAGTACGACAACGCCGTCTACGTCGTCCAGCGAGCCTTCGCGCTCTACCCGTACGCCGCTCCATCCCTCCATTTCACTCTCGAGCTGGGGATTCATCGGATTGGCCTAGTGCTGCTGTTTTAGTTCCGTGTCTATTCACCCGGAACCGAAGAATCTGGGATGCGATTGCTCGCCGCGAGCGCCGGCCCGCGCGATCGGGTTTGACTCATTTGACGATCGCGGGTGGCGGCGGGGATACAGC